AAACAAAAATTCAAACAAAACCCCTCTGAACGTGACTTGGAGCCGGCAGAGTCGGCCGTGGCCCTCAGCACAACCACCGACAGTGCTGTTCACGAAACTACCATTGACATCCATTCCAAGTTGTAAATGCTAGTCTCTCTCTCTCTCTCTCTCTTTTTTTTTCCAATAAAAGACCATTAACTTAAAGTGGTGTTAAATGCTTTGTAAAGCTGAGATCTAAAGGGGACAGGGCAGTTGAGAGGCAAGCGTACAATTCAATTACCAGAGGTCCAGCCCACCCCCACCTGCTCCCCGGGCTCCCTTCTCTCCAAAGGAACCCATCTCGGAGCCTGAGACCTTTCCTAAAAACCCTTGGCTTCCTCCTGTTCACAGCCATGTAGGTCAAGTTGCATTTTTGCAGGGGGTGGGCGTGGGGTGACTGTTAAGACGCCTCTGAGCTCTGCTTGCTCTCCAGCGGGTGCTCTTGGGGGTGTTTGGTCACCGAGCTACTTGAGGCCACCAGTGCAGGAAACCTGATGGAGTGTCACCCGATCATGGCGCGACGGGGGGAGCAGTCAACTCTCCTTCAGCCCGTCTCCTCCTGTTCTAAGTTTGCTGCAGTCGCTCCTTAATTCACACAACTTATTTAAGTGTATGATCCTCCCTTGGCATTAACATTTTTACACTTGATGCCTTTTCCTCCCCCCACCCCCATCCCCTCCAGTGGAACTAAGCGCTTAACCCTCCGCATGAAAGAACTCCAGCTTGGGGGAGAATTCTGTGTTTTAGAAATGCGAGGATTGGTCTACGGCTTGGAGCCTCCCCGCGAGACATTGATTTCTTGGGGAATGAGGGACCCTGAGCAGTTTGCAGAGCCTTCTTGGCTGGTGGTATTTTCTCAGCAAGGAGGTTGGGATGGTGTGTTCCCGTGTAGGTGGCTGTCGCGGGCTGGGGAACAGCAGGCTGCTTGCAGGCAGCGAGCAGCTCTTGGCAGCCAGCTGGCTGTGCTCAGGGTTGATTTCTCGAGCCCCCAGCTTCTCCCTCCCCTGCTCCCCATCTCTGGCGTTTTGCAGCTTGCTCAATTTTTCTGCCAGGGTTGGGTCAGAGCATTGGGGAGGTGAACCGTGCCCAGCTGTGTCTGTCAGCAACTGGTCCTAGGAACGAAGGGTTGGCCTGCGTATTCCCCGAGGCTGTAGGAGGAACACCTTAGAATACTGTGCTGGTCTCTCTGGGTGGTGAGAGCAGGCGGCCAGGGTCTTCCAGGGTATCTGCTGGAGACCTGGATGGTTCTCTCGGGGTTGTCACTCCAGGGTCAAATTTTAGACCCGTGGTCAATGATCAGCCTCCCAGCAGTATGAAAAGAAGGGATGGATTTGATTTAAGAAGTGTACTCTGACCCTGTCTTTTTCTAGAAGCTGGGTGGGACTCAGTTCAGCCACCTGCCCTGCAGACTTACCACTGAAACCAGATTCTTCCATGGCCCGCAGCCCGCTGGGGAACCAGAAACCCTTCCCCAGGGCACTCGGTGTTCCGAGTGGGCTAGCCTCTCCCCTCTGCTCCTGGGGACAGCCAACCTCCGGGTCAGGCATTCGCTGCTGGTTTTTGAGAGGAATGAGTTGCATGTCAGGGGCAGTACTCGGGATGTTGTTAGCACTTTCCTGTGAGTTCTCGCCCCTACTCCTAACTGCTGTATAAATACATACATATATTTATATATATATATAAAGTGACTAGTTTAACTGGGATCCTGCTTTAGCCTGAGACTTGCCATAAAACAGCAACAACAACAAAAAACCCAACGATTACCCCGCTGAGAACTGGGCAGACTCAGAGTTTAGTTCTCCATCCGTTTGGGTTCGTTACGGAGCAGGGTGATCACATCTCCATCACTTCTGATGGGCCTTGGGCGCCCTGCTGCCTAGGAAGCCTTCCTCCCCCCCTCTCCTTTTCTCTCTCTCTTTTCTTTTTGACAAACGGGTTTTGCTCGCACGATAACCGGTGTCTTACGGCAACTTAAAACCACACTGAAAATGAGCTGTTGTACATATTTTTATATTCTCTTTATAAACGCATGTCTGATTGTACTTGTACCAATATTGTAACGGCTCCCCCCTCAGCCTGGCGCTGCTGCGGCTGTGTCAATGGCGGAGGCAGGCCTGGTGTGTGCGTACTGCTGGCCCTGAACACAGGGACGGGGATGGGGACGGCCATATCACCACGGAATGTCAATTTGGTCACCACTGCTCTTGGGTTCATCCAGTTCCTTTAAGTATCTGAATTACTTACTGTGTCTCCGAAGTACATTTCCCTGTTCAGCAGTGACTAGATCCCACTGATGTCCTGTCCGGCACTCTATTTCTTAACCCCTTGAAGTTACTTTGCTGTCCGTCCGTCTGTCTCCCTTCGAGTAAGACGGTAGCAGCGTGGGTGGAGTGTGTGGGCTTTCCGACCGACCGAGTTCACGAAACATCTGTAGCAGTGATGATGGTGGCCCTTTTGTCTCGGAAGGAAGGGGCCGCCCCTCGTGCACGCTCGGCCCCTGGACAAGAAGATGTGCTGGAAGGCTGCTGTCAATTCTCAGACGAACTGCTGGGAGACTGAGCCACCTCTGACGGGGGACCAGCTCTATGGGAATTGTAAATACGTTTTATTTATAAACCTGCCACTGTATTCAATAAACATTTCTGCAGCCTTTCATCTCCAACTGCCAATTGTGTAGGTTCTTAGCCTGCCTAGCCCCTGCGTCCCCCGCCCTCCCCCACCCCTGTACTGCGCTCTGAACAAGAGGAACCTTCCCACAGACCTCTTCCCACCGGGCCTGCAGCCTAGAGGTGGAGTGGGAGGCTGACGGACCCTAGTGTGACCAGCGGCTGGTTCAACTGTGTCTTGGTCTGGTAGTGCTAGGCAGAAGATTCACACCTGAAAAGGATTTGATTTCCTTTAACCCCAGTGTTGAGTCTCTAGGGATGGTGTAAATGAGCGTACTTCTTACATTTGGTGGGAATTCCACCTAAGGGGACTGGCCCCCTTTGCCATGTCCTAAGTGGGTCAGCTGAGGAAAACGGGGCGGGATGCACTATCAGTCGAGCCTTGGAGTTGATACCTGCCCCCATGATCAGCGGCCCCTCCCAGTAGGAAAGGCCACCCCCTTGGCACCAGCTGCTGTGTGTGTGTGTGTGTGTGTGTGTGTGTGTGTTGACTATGCCCTCAGGCTGGCCCTTCACCCCTTCTGGGCCTCAGTTCCCACTTTGGCAAGATAAGGCGACATCCCTTCCACTGTGGTTTTCTGCTAAGCTGTCTAGGCATCATGAGGCGTTTCAATTGGTGGAAACGTCTGCCTAAAAAGGGAGGGGGTGGGTAGGTGGGCTGCGGGCTTTGAGTTGACAGACAACATTGCGGGGTCTCCGCTGCCCTTGCTGGGCGTGGCGTGGCGTGTAGGGTAAGTCTGCCGTTAAGACTGTGATGCAATACTGGGCCGTGGATCAGAGAAACTGATGATTAAGTGACTTCCACCCTCCTCGCAGGATGGAAGTGGGAAGCTGCCACCAGGCTGGGAGATAGTCCAAGTGATGACGTCATCTGGTTTTCCAGCGGCTCGCTTCAGGAAGGAAAATACATGCACACATACATTTCCGATGTGAACAGAACTTCCCCTGCCTTAGAAGGACATCAGCTGGTTTTTATAGCTTGGTGCTTCTCACCCCCTGCCCTCAACCCTCTGCCACGGAGTGGGAGGAGCCACCTTCAGCTCCCACCCCCTACCCCCTACCCCGCCCCTCCACCTCAGTCCTGTGCCATAGCTCATCAAGAGTCCCCAGGAGCTAGCCAACTTTCCCATCTGGTTGACAATCCCTGCATTTAGGCTTAAAAAAAAAAAAGTAATTTCCATTATAAGGATGACTTCCATTCAGCCAGTGTGTCAGCAACCTTTCGGAATGAATATGTCTTTACACGGTCCAACTCACTCATCAGATTTTAGAAGTCTTAGGTTCACTTTTACTAAGATGAAGGGGAAATCCAGTCTCCGCCGCCAGTAAGAACATGACTTAGAATAATTTGTTACATCAGCTCCTAATCCTGGCTGTCAAGAGACATGTACCCCAAACCCACTGCCTTCCAGGCGATCCCAACTCACAGCGCCCCACGGGACAGAGCAGAAGGAACTGCCTCTGCAGGCTGCTGAGACTCACATCCATGGGAGCACAGCTCTTCCCTTAGACGGGCTTCTGGGTTCAAACCGCAGCCCAGTGCTTGCCCCCCTGTGGGACCACGGTTCCTGCTAAGCATCGATAACAAAATGCACTGCCATCCAGCTGATGCCAACGCGCTGGCCCTATAGGCTGGAACTGCCCTGTGGGTTTCCGAGACTAACTACGGGAGCAGAAACCCTCATCCTCTCCCTCGGAGCCAATGGTGGTTTCAAACTGATGACCTGGTGGTTAACAGCCCCATGTGTAACCACTACGCCACCAGGGCTCCTCTAAGTGAATGTAGCTTGCTCTGAATTGTTTCCCTTTTTGAGTCTTCGTATACCCTTCACATTTATAAGTAATCAGACTGGTGT